TGGTGATGGTGGTGGTGGTGGTGGTGGTGATGGTGGTGATGTTGATGGTGATGGTGGTGATGATGATGGTGGTAATTGTGGTGGTGGTGGTGATGGTGGTGATGTTGATGATGGCGATGGTGGTGATGGTGATGGTGGTGATGTTGATAGAACAACCCTGGAATGTGGGTACTACTCAGATCCCCACTGTATGGATGAAACCACAGAGCCACTGAGAGGTATGGTGACTTGAGTATTTACTGGCAGAACCAGATGTGGAGACCAGGTCTCCAACTCCCAAGCCTATGCCCTTTGTACCACCCCAGTGTGATCCCAGAAGAGGTTCTCAGGGCCCATGGGCACCCTGAGAGTCTCTGATGATGCCAGAACGCATGCAGGTTGGAGGGTAAGAAGGAGGCAAGGGTGGCTTTCAGATTGCCAGGCCAGTCCTCAGCACCCCAGAGCCCTCCCGGCCCTGCTGGCCCGCCTCTGCCTCAGCCTGCAATACATTCTTGTGGGACAGGTTCATCGGACAAGCCTCGTGGGCCCTGAGCACCAGCATTCCTGGCAGGTGGTCTGGCTCTGTCATTTGAGGGCTTTTACCTCCTCGGCATGGTCTCCCAGATCAATCTCCACAAACACAGATGGTTTCTGTGAATGGAAACCAAAGAGGTATGGATGGCAGACTAGGGTGAACTGGAGAGGAAAGGAGGCTTCCTGGGAGAGGCACTGGGCTCCAGGCCCTGGGGCAGCTGGGTCTGCATGACCACCACTGCGGCCGCAAGACAGTGGCTGTGCTCAGTGGGGGCTCCTGAGGAGCTGGGCAGAGAGGTGCTGGCCGTGTGAATGGCAAGGTGTCCATGACCAGTGCTGGCAGAGAGAAGGGAAGGACTATGGCCTCCCATCTCTCCCTACTCACCCCCTCAGGTCCCTGAGATCCCGGGGTCTCCCCTGGCTTCCCTCTTTGAGAACCAGGGCAGCGGGTCACAAGGCAATGCCCGGAGCTGGCCCATACCTGCACACTGCCCACCAGCCTCCTGGTACCTGCTCTGCCCCGTGCTGGTGAGGGCTCCCACTGAGGCATGAAAGCCTCAGGCAGCTCCAGGGGCTGCTGCCCACCTGGGCCAGCCCAGAACGCCAGATATGTCTGGGGATGAACCCCTGGATCCCACCAGGGACTGTCGTAGGTCCTGATAAAACAGGTCCAGCTTCTTCTCCATTCCCTCCCACGATTGGGAAGGAAATGAGAGCCTCCTTCCCTCAGAAAGTGCCCGGTGGGAATTCCTACCACCGCTCTGATGGGTCTCTGGCCAGTGCACCAGGACATGGGGCAGGGGGCATTTCTCTGAGCCACCCGTCAGGTCCCATATGACTTTGGCAACTGTGCTGTTTGGAAAGCTGGGGTTAAGATGCCCAGCATCAGCCAGGAGCACAAGGCTGGGCCCAAAGTCTCTTGGGTCGAGGCCGCACTGGGCCCAGCCTACAGCATGGCCCTGCCAAGAGGACCCCAGGACCATGTGTCCACAGCCTGCTGGCGGTCCCACAGGACTGTGCCTGGCAGGCCTTCCTGTTAAGAAAGTCAAAGGCTCTTGCCTCTTTTCCTGGAGGGTCATCCAGCTTGATGGACTCTGGCCCCTGTTCCTAGGGAAGACACCCAACAGGTAAATACCAGCAGGACCCGAGGACGGCGGACATGTGTCTGGCCAGCCCCCCCGCTCTTGCCACTGGCCTCTGGGTGGCTCCTCTTCTCCTCTGGTTCTGTCCTTCCACCGTCCGGGTCCAACTTCCCAAGGGCGTCCTGACTCTCCTGCTTGTCTTCCTCGGGGTCTGCCTGACTGTGGGAGTGAGGCGATGGATCAGGATGGGCGCCATGGAGATGTGGCTTCGGGCTGGCCCTTTCTCCCCTTGGGTGCTGGGAAAGTTCTGGGACGTGCCCCCGCGGAGCAGGGTGGGACAGGGCGTGGAGGCCCTTCCTCCTGCCTGGGGGTGGGAGGGTGAGTGGAGGACGAGGCAGAGGTGCCCAGCGCTAGGCATCGAGGACTAGGCAGTGCTCCTCGAGGAAGGTTCTATGGCGATGTGGTGGTGCTGGGGGCCTGTCCACCAACGGGGTTGCACATGCAGACCTTCCCCAACAAATGAGGCCTCTGGCATGCCCAGCGATCTGGAGAGTCGAGTGCAAACGTCTGCCAAGACAGGCGCCCGCTCCAAGAGTCTGGGCCACGGCCAGCTGCAGGGGAAGCAGGAGGTGGGGTGGGGGGCTCGCAGCCCTGAGACACCCTCCCATCTGAGGGTGGACACCCTTTCTTCTCAGGGTTCCTTCGGGGTCCGAGTGTCGACCTCGGGGCTGGCCCTGCTCCCCAACCCACTGTCTCCTGTGTCACCTCGTGTCTCTGAAAACCACCTCTCCTGGACAACGACCACCTACCAGCTGGCTTCTTCGATGTCACCTTGTAGGTCCTTTCCCTGGTCCTCGGACTCTGGGGAGGAAGGAGCAGCATTTGCCATCAGCTCTCCCTGGGCCCGTGGCTTGGCCCTGTGAGGACTGAGAGCACTACAGCCCAGCCCTTCGGGGAGTGAGGGGCCCAGAGCCTGGCCCTACAAGGGTGGACAGGCCTTCCTGCGGGTGCTGAGTCTGAGAGGACAGTCCAGGTCCCATTTCTGTGTGGCCGCATCTGAGCCCAGAATGGTAGTGGTGGCTGGTTCCCTATAGCTGCCGCCCCCCGCTCCAGCAGCTCGGTCCCCCATCCTCCAGCCCGGCACACGCGGGCCCAGGATGCAGACACAGTACAGCCAGGTGGGAAATGCCAAAGCCTTCAATCATCCTTTTGACAGGAGGCCTGGTGAGGCACCTCCAAGCACCCCGTTACCGCAGAGGGTTTCCTTACAGAATCCCGACGGCTCACAGGTCTCAGAGCTGGGGCACCTGCAGGCTGGGGAGGGGATGGCTGGGCTCTGGGCGGCGGCCTGCACACAGCTCCCGCTTCTCGGCAGAGACCAACAGCGTGGCTGGCCCTTGAGCTCTCCATCCTGCCCTGGGCCTGGTGTCGGGGAGCCCCTGCCCCATGTCAGGTGACCTGCCTTTGGCGGGACAGTCATCTCAGCCAGGCCTCCCGGGTGCTCAGGGCGCGTGGCCTTGGCTGTGTTGTCCGGACACTTCTCTCTGTGAGGCGCCTGTGGGTGAGAACTAGGGGTCCTCCCTCCTTCTCTTGTTGGCAGCACACAGGCTCAGGGACGCCGAGGCCAGCGTTGGCCACCCCAGAGACAAAGCCCTGAAGGCAACGGGCAGGGATCTGAGGGAGCTCGGGGTGGGGGGTGCAGCCCTTGGTCCTCAGAGCGCGTTTCAGGACTCGATGGCTCTCGAGACATCCCTCACGGAGAAGCTGCCCAGTCTCCACCTCAGGACCTAGAACAGGACCTGAGTGATTCAGAAGCAGCAGTTTTCTAGCAGGGATTTTAGAATTGATTCCTTTTGGAAAATCTTCAGCAGGCCCCCACCTGTAGGCACGCGTGTGCGTGTACGTGCCTGTTCTAGAAGACCTGGGGCTGATCCCTGAACCTGCTTTTTCCTATAATGTGTATCTGGCAAGAAGAAAGAATCAGTAAAAAGAGAGACGTGATTTCTTTTCTACAAAGTAGACCCCCCAGTACATCTTCTGTCATAAAGAAAGGAAATTAATACTAAGTGTCTGCAGGTCTTGCCCCTTCCCTTTATCTAAGAAAGTGCCTGAGTGTATCAGGGCTCTGAGCATATCGGAACAGCGAGTGACCCCTCAGTCTGGAGGGCTCAGCCAACGAACGTGCAGCAGGCAGAGGGCTGGGGGCTGACGTGCGCCGCTCGGGGGCTGAATGAGGTCTGAGGACAGAGCAGTGAGGTCTCCAGAAGGTTCCCTTTGCTGCCTCTCTTCCTCAGCCGAGATGTGGCTATCTTCAAACTGCTTACAGATTACATTTTGGCTGTGAGACCGCCCCCTGGGGTCCAGCGGGTGGTGGCAGGCCTGCAGGCGCAGGCTCGGGGTCGGGCCGTGGCCATGTCCTCTGGACAGCGAGTCAAGTATCCGAAATCATGTCAACAGAGGTGCGGAGCTGGCTGGGGAGGGGGAGTGACAGTGACCAAGACCCTCTTCGTAACAGGCCTTGATTCTGTGATGGGGGTGCTTCGGGGGCCTGATGACACTGCCTTGCACCTTAGCGACACGGCTGAAGGCTTCAGCAGGTCCCACCCGCCTCGGAGGAAGCCCCCCACCTCCTCTCTGGACACACCCCCTTGAGCATGCACGAGTGGTGGACGGAGAGCGGAGTGCAGGCGAGGGTGCCCTCGCGCAGGAGGGGTGGCAAGGCGGACCTGAGCGCCGGAGTCCCGGGCCTGCACTGTGGACACGGTGGCCTGAGCCCGGGCGGGTCCCGCGGGGGGTTCCTGTGCGGGCGGCCAGGGTGGGGAGGTGGGCTCGATGCGTGGACACCCAGGGTTCTAGCACACAGCCGCTGGGTTCCTGCTGTTCCCTCCGACACCGGGCTCGTCCTGAGGCCCGACTGGACAGCAAAGCTGCAGGTGTGCTCTGGCCGCCCCTTGTCCCGCCCATTGGGCTCGCAGCCGGGCTCCTGTGTCCTCCTCGCCCCTGCTCCCCGCCGGCGTGCACCCGGCAGGGCCCCCTCTTCTGGTCCTATTTTGCCACGCGGACAGTGGGACCTGGAGCAGCCTGCCCCGTGCACGGCTGGTGAGCCTGCTGCTTTCCACCCTGCGGTCTCCGGGAGGTGGAGCCCCTCTGCTGTGTCCCGTGGGGCCGCCTGGTCATGTGAGGTAGGACAGGGTGCCACGGGGATGCCTCTCTGCCATTCACCCTGTTTGGGGAGATCCAGCGGTGCTGGTGGGAGTATCTGGAAATGGTGGGGGCGGGACTATCCTCTCCTGTGGCCGGCCCCGTGGCGGCCTTATCGGACAGCCCCTGTGTCGATTTGCAATGTTGCCTGCATAGACTTAGGTTGATTTCTTCTTTGGGAAGCTTCACTCCTCTTCAGTGAGCCTGCGAAAGCGTCGCCCTGCTCAGAGGGTTCACAGGACGGAAGTGGAGGGAGAGCCTCGCAGCGGCCCCAGCCGCCAGCCAGCGGTGAGCACCTGCTCCTCCTCCCCCTCCTGAGATGTTTACACTGAGAGAGCAGATATTCGCCCCTCGGGCTGGAACAGCAAAATCCCATTTCCTGCTTACTGTGTTTCAGTTCCACGGCATTCCAACACCCTCATAGAGGGCCACTCGCTGGGTGACCTTCCCAGCAGAGCCAGAACCTCAGAGGGCCCAGCAAATGACTGCACCAGTCACCTTCATCTCTCAGCCAACTCAGGGTCTGGCCCTCCAGGGAGAGGAGTTGGGGAGCCCAGAGGGCGAACCTCATGGTTCACACAAGGACTAGGTGTGCTGCCCGGCCCCCACGGCAGAGCGTTTAGGGAGAGCTTAGGTGGCAAAGCACCGCCATGTGTAAGTTAGTGGGCCCGTATCCCTTGTCCGTTACCCCCATGGGCTCACTGCTGGCCCTGCCTGGCAGGTTCCCTGAGTGGGACCAACCAGAGATGTTCCACGTGGCCACGGCCTTCTGGATGCACAGCCCACCTCACCCCACTCCCGACCTCAGCACAGCTTCCCATGGCCGCCTCAGTGGGTCCCAGCCCCGGTTCGGCCACCGGCAGACCCCGGCTCTAGCGTGCTCTGCCCGGCCCTTAGGATTCTCAGCAGGGCCAAGGGGGCTGGGCTGGTGGGAGGGACGCCGCTGCGGGCCTACCCGGCTCCTTGGACAGCTTCTTGAGGCAGCTCGGAGGGTCCCCCTTCTGATGCAGGCCGCCCACACTCCTGCTCCTCTGGAGCTCGGCCACCTCGCCGGCTGCCTTGGGGTGTCTGGGGGCAGCCCCTGATGGAGGGGCCCCGGGGCCCAGCCGGTGCCTCCGGTGTGCGGCCGTGTCCTTCTCCATCTTCCTCCCCCTCTGCCAGGTTTTGGGAAAGAAGAGGGACGCGGGCTCCCAGGCGCACCCTCAGGTGGAGCGCATGGCTTCCAACCTCTGTCCGACGAGCAGCCCAGTGTGACCAGGGGGCCCCTGTTGCCAAGTGCCCCTGTGACATCACTGTGCAGTCAGAGGTCAGAAGTCAGCCTGGCGCAGCCCTTCCCGCGGCTGCCTTCCCCCCGAGGCCTTCATCAGCCCTCGCCCAGACAGGGTGGATGCTGCGCACTTCTGCTGTGGGGTCAGCCTCAAGCCTTTGGAGGATTTCCTCATTTTGAGAATCTTTCTTTTCCTCTTAGGGACGACGTCACCACGGACCAAACTCGGGCAAACGGACCCAGGGCTCAGGCGTTCGTCCGGGCGGGCCCAAGGGGCGTCGGGGGTGGACGGGCAGCTGTGAGCGGCTAGCTGGCGAGCGCGGCCGGCACGAGGCACCACCACGGAGACTCGGACGCTGGCTTCCCGCAGCCAGCGGCCGGCCAGGCCGACACAGACGCGGGTGCCGCCAGGGCTGGTCTCTCTGGGAGCCGCTCCGCCAGCGCGTGCCTCCTCCCGTCCTCCCACGGTCGTCCCTCTGCATGTCCCTGTCCTGATGTTGTCTCTTCGGGTCTTCTGAGTCTAGCGACATTAGTTTCAGGGACAACATAGCGTCTCAACTTCCCTGCGGGGTGCTGGGCTCACCTCAAGTGCAGCCGTCTGTCACCTGGCCGCGCCCTCCGTGACAGCACCATCTCACCCTGTGACCGAGTCACTCCACACCCGGAGCCCCGGACCTCCGCCCGCCCCGCTGATTATCTGTGGCTCTGATTCTGCTTTCTGTTTATTCGTTTGTTTGTCGTTTATAGTCCACTTATCGGTGGAATCATACGGTGATTTGCCTTTATCCGATTTAGTTCACTTGGCATGATACCCTCTAGGTCCACCCTGTTCTCACAAAGTGACACGATCTCGTCTTTCTGACGGCTCAGTAACACCCCACTGTGTATACACACCACATCTTTATCCCTTCACCTGTCGACGGACGCTCGGGCTGCTTCCGCATCCTGGCTGTTGTACATGCTGCTCCTATAAACACAGGGGGGCACGTATCCCTTTGAATTAGTGTTTTTGTATCTTTTGGGGTAAACACCCAGTAGTGCAATTGCTGGGTCGTAGGGTAGGGTAGCTCTATTTTTAACCTTGTGACGAAACTCCATACTGTTTTCCAGAGTTTGCATCCCACCAACAGTGCAAGATTTGGGTTCCCCTTTCCCCGCTTCCTCACCAACACCTGTTGTTTCTTGTGTTACTGATTTTAGCCATTCTGACAGGTGCAAGGTGATACCTCACTATGGTTTTGACTTGTATTTTCCTGCTAATGAGTGATGTTGAGCATCTTTTCATGTGTCTCTTGGCTGTGTCCTAACCTTAGAAGGACACCAGTCATATGGCATTAGGGCCCACCCTAATGACTTTATGTAACCTTAATTACCTCTTTAAAGATCCTGTCTCCAAATACAGCCACAGTCTGAGGTGCTGGGGTCAGGACTTTGCCATGAGTATTTGGGGGACACAATTCAGCCCATAATACAACTTAACAGAAATGTCTGGTAGCATCCCAGCATACGTTTTTAATCTGCAAACATCCAAGGCCACGGGGGACAGATCATAGTAGGGGTTCTCCCTGAGCAACTGGCAGATCATAACTACTCAGCAGGAAGCAGAAGAGACTCCCTAATTCCACATGCACGTCTATCTCTCCGAAACACTTCACAGCATCTCCGCGCACCGCGAAGGCTCTGGTCACCCGGCCAAGGGGCTGGTACGGCGCCTGACGTGCTGCCCAGGTGCCCGCGTGCACAGACGCTAGTCTGGGAGAGGCCAACGGACTAAGGCTGGGATGGCGGGACGCCTAGGCTGTCTGGAGGAAGAGCAGGTGGACACTGTGACCCGTCAGAGGGGTCCTGGGACAGGGGCGTCTGGTTCCACGCTCCCCGAGGTTTTCTCCTTTCTGTCCTCCCATGGCGGCAGAACTTCCCTGGGTCTCACAAGTGTCTGAGTCAGCCAGACTCCTTGGAGCTGCCCGTAGCCCTGCTGTGGACACTCACGTCCTGGCTGACTGATGCTGTGGCCTCTGACCCGGGGCCCTCGTGAGCAGGTACTCCCCCTCTGCACCCCCTCAGCCCCCAGCCAGCCCTGGTGCCATCCTGCTGCCAGGAGAGGCCGGATGGAAGCAGCAAGGGCATTTTTCTCCCCGAGTCCATGCCCCCAGGGAGGGGCTGACCCCCCCCATCACCCAGAGTCCAACCTGGTGTCCCCAGAGCCCGACCACCTGTTTCTTTCCTAACAGCTGAATCAGGCTGGAATTAAAACAGCAACAGAGTGAAAACCACAGGGAAAAAAGGAATAGGGAACCTGTGTCCTTGCTCTGGAGGCAGGTCTCCTCCAGGCCACCCACCATGCATGCAGCCCCTTCCCTCCACCCGTCCAGGTGGGACAGGGCCCTCAGCACTTCTGCCTCCCCACGGCCTCTCCTGCTGCTCCCCCTGTGTCTGGTCCTGAAGCTCAAGGCCCACTGTGTCTCGGAGAGAGGAGCACGTGCTGGGGGCTCATCTTCCCCTCCCTGGGCTGATGCCCGTCTCCATCCTCACTGGAGGTTCCCAGCAGAACACACTCGGACGCGCTCAGAGTGCCCGACCCCACATCTTTCCATTCCACAGGGCACCGTGGTTTCCAGCTTGCTCCAAAGTCCCACAGCTGAACCTCCCCTGCCACACAAGCATGTTATCCAGCCTCCCACATGCCCCGCTCCGCCGCGCACCCATCTCCCACATGCACAATTATCAAACCATTCCTCAGAAAGAATAAAACATCTGTTTTAATTGGCCAGTAAAATACATTGCAAATCATTAGTATCTTATAAACAGAAATATTAAGTTACAAATCCATGTTAAAAATTGCAGTTTGGCGCAGCCTAATAGTTATGTGTCCCAAAGTTTACTTTTTGCAACATTTTCCTCCACCGTCTTTGTCACAAGTGATGTTACTATCTGCCACGGTTCAGAGTTCAGTCTGAAGGATGGTATTTGCAAATAAAAAGCAGGATGGGCACAAAGTCTGAGGCTGACTGCCCCATGTCAGGACCCCCATCCCAACAGAAAAGCACCCACCACTGCCTGGCAGCTTCTAGGGGCTTCACAGAGACCCAGCAAAGCCCTGCTCCCGGGGGCTGCAGGGTCTGCACAGCTCAGGGCTTTGCGTCCCTTGGTGAGCTCTGGAGGGCCTTCCACTGGCTTCTAAGAGAAGCAGCTCATTCCCTTCGTTGCTTTGCTGTGCACCCTCCCCTTTGACGAGTATAGGCCTAGATGTTCCGAGGTACTTTATATCAAGGAGCTATATATCAAGGAGCTCATTAGAAACGGTCCTTTAAAAATGTTAAGAAAAACAGCTTGAAAATAATGCACATTTTAAAAACCTTCCTCAAACTTCCAGAAGGGGCAGCTAATGTGTGTTCTACTTTTAAGTTCCACTGACAGCAAAACAGCAACAACTTTTGCTTGAAGGGGGACAGGCTGGACACGCAGCTCGGCCCGTTGCCGGCTCTGGCAGCGTCTGCAGCCCACAGAACTGGGACACCCATGTCTGCGAGAGCAGACTGGAACCTCCTCCCCCCAGGTACTCTCTGCAGAAGGACCCCGTACCTCCAAATCATCAAGAGCATCCTCACATTGGGATCTTCGTGCAGTGATGCACAACGAAGCCACAAAACTGACCTTCAGCCAGGAACAATACCAACGCCAAGGGCTGGACCCAGAAGGCCCGTGGGCACGGCCGCTGGCAGGCAGGCTCACAGGAGACGATGCGCTCAGCGTCCTGTCTTGCTGAAGCAGAGTGTGTGAGAGGAGGGAGCTGCAGGGCCCCACGGCACAGGCACCAGAGCCCAGCAAAGGCGAAAGTGCACAGGACTCAGAAGCCCAAGCTCTGCAGAAAGCACGGCGGCCCTGGCCCCTCCTTCCAGAGAGGCCAGCTCAGGTCGCCGGCCACCAGTGTGAAGACAGTGCACCAGCAACCACAGACGCGGCCCGGGGAGAGCCTCAGAAGTCCCGTGAGCCTGGCGCCGGTCACAGTGAGAGCTGCAGAAGTGCGGACCCCCTGCCCTGCTGTCCTTTCTCTCTGTTCCCTCCTTCCCGGAGACCGCGGCTTCCCTGCTGCAGCTCAGGGCACCGTCCTGGGACAGGACATCCTGCTTCAAATGGAATGGGTGGAGGTCTCCGATTGCTGCCTGATGTAGCTCTGGAAGCTCTTGTCTCCAATGGGGTGCTCCCTGCAAAGGGGAAGTGGGGAGAAGAGAGAGGCAGAGCCCTGATCGCTGCTGCCCATCTGCACGTTAATACTTTTTTTCTACCTTTAAACGTGATACATATTGCTCATAATAAATGTGAAAAATACAGACAAGCAAAGAAAAAAAAGACTTAGCCAAAAGTCGCCTATACAAGTGTACCTGTGGCCTAGAGAAAGGCAACTTCTGGCCCATCAAAGCCTAATTTTGGAAGCAATGGGTCTGGAGGTGGGAGGGTCTGGGGTGTGGTTCGGGGTGTGCTGCCCCTGGGCCACTGTCCAGAGGACTGAAGAGTACAGGAGGGCTGCTCTGCGAGAGACGGGGAGGCTGCCCAGTCCTCATGGGTGCGTGCAGGTGGCTTCAGGGTAATGCTCAGCCCCAGGAAGTCCCTTGCAGTCCCTTCCCCACTACCTTTGCCAAGGGCTCCCCTACAGTCCGATGCCATACTCACTGGCTCCCGTACTTGGTCTTCTTGAACTTGTCCCTTTTGTACTGGGCATGCTCCTGTTCGAGGGCCCCAACCCCAGCGACGACCTGCTTCAGTGTCTTGTAGGTCTCCTGGGGGTCGTCGATGATGAAAGTCGAGTACTCCTCCTGCTCGGGCCCGTCGTACACGGATCTGCTCCCACAGGCTTCTGCAGCGTTGGGAGGGGCCGGAGGTCAGGGCGGGGACTCCATGGGCAGCCTCCTCGGGAAGGGCTGACCGTTCCCACGCAAATGCACCAAGAAGCAGAAGCCGTTCCCAAGAGCCGGGCCAACACT